TTTGAGTTATTTATATATTCCAGATATTAATCCTCTCTCAGAAGAGTAGGTAGCAAAATTTTCTGGCAATCTGTAGGTTATCTCTTCATATCTTCATATTCTTTTTTCTTTTCTTTTTTTTTCTTTTTTTCTTTTTTTTTATACCAGGGATTGAACTCAGGAGCACTTGACCAGTCCTATTTTTGTATTTTATTTAGAGACAGAGTCTCACTGAGTTGCTTAGCATCTCAGTGCTGGCTTTGAACTCGTGATCCTCCTAGCTCAGCCTCTGGAGCTGCTGGGATTACAGGCGTGCACCACCGTGCACCACTTCCTGCATATTCTTAATTGTTTCCTTTGCTGTGCAGAAGCTTTTTAATTTGATGCCATTCCATTTGTCAATTCTTAGTATTATTTTCTGAACTTTAGTAGTACCATTGAGGAAGCCATTGCATGAAACTGTATGTTGGAGTGTTGTCTGTATATTTCCTTCTAGGAGATGCAAAGTTTCTGGTCTAATTCCTAGGTCTTTCACCCATTTTGAGTTGACTTTTGTGCAGGATGAGGGATAGGGATCTAATCTTATTCTTCCACATGTACAAAACCAGTTTCCCCATGGTGCTAGGGATAGAGTGCAGGTGCTTACGCATGCTAACACATGCCCTACCACTAAATTACATCTCCAGCTCTACAGTCTCGGTATTATTAATGAATGATGAGATTGAAGAAGAATTTGGGGATCAGAGGACAAAAAATATTGCAGGAAAACGGAAGGAGCAGAAAGGTGGTCAAGTGTGGCCCGGAGAGCACAGGCTAGAAGCCTGGCATGCTTGGGTTTGAACCATGGCTCCATTGTTTGAAACTTTGGGACTTGGAACAAGTTACCTTAATCTCCTGTAGCCTTAGATTCTGTAAGATGGGGATAATCATAATAATATCAAACTCATAAAGTTTTTTTTAATGGAAAACTGTGACCATGCTAGGCCCAGCACAGGGTCTCACACAGAGTAGAAGCTTATAAATGATAATTGTGGTCATGACAATGTTTTCTATTTATAATTTTATGTTTGGCCCTTTCACAAGTTGTCTTGTGTGGTTTCAGGTAGTTTTAGAATAATTTCATTTAAAAAATTTTCATACAGTAAAATTGACTTTTTGGCACACAGTTTTATTAGTTTTAACACCTGTATAGAATCATGTAATCAGCATCATAATCAGGATACAAAACTTTCATCACCTCTACAGATAATTTTTAATTATTATTTTTATTGGTGTATATAATTGTATATAATAGGAGATTCATGATGCTGTATTTGTCTCTGCACGTAACATAATTTGATCAGTCGTATTTCCCAGTGCCTTCCCTTTTCCTCCCTTCCTCCCTACCCTTGATCTGTTTGCTCTACTTTACTGATTTCCTTTTTGTTTATTATTATTTTAATCAGTGCATTATAATCATATATGTAAGTGGGATTTATTGTGGTATATTCATACATAAACACAGCGTAATTTGGTAGATTTCATTCCCCAGTACTTCCCCATGCCTTCCCCTTTTCCCTCCTTCTCAGTCCTCTTTCTCTACTCTATTGTCTCCCTTCTATTTTTGTGAGATCCTTTGTGTGTGTGTGTGTGTGTGTGTGTGTGTATAACATGGGGTATCTTTCCGTTTATACACACACACACACACACATATACACAGAAAGGTTTTATTTGTGTTGCTTAAAAAATTTATATATATATGTATTTTAAGCAACACAAATAATTGTACACCACAGATATAATTCACATACTATAAATCCACCTTTTAAGGTACGTTTCAGTGGTTTTTAGCATATTCAATGTTATGCAACCATTGCTACTGTCTAATTTCAGAACATTTCATCACAAGAAGAAACCTCATACTTGGAGGGAAGCAGTCACTTCCCATTCCTAGTAGCTACTAATCCACTTTATTTTGAATATTTCATATAAATAAGAATCATACAATATGTAGTCTTTTGTGATTGGTTTCCTACATTTATTTATCCATGTTGTAGCACATATCAATTATTTCATTTCTTTTTTTAATTGATGAATGATAATTCCTTAATATTATTTATGTAGTTATACCATTTTTTTATGTGTGTTTTATGGTGCTGGGGATTGAACCCTTAGCTTTGTGCATGTGAGGCAAGCACTCTACCAACTGAGCTATATCCCCAGCCCAGATATACCACATTTTGCTTATCGATTTGTCAGTTAATAAACATTTGGGATGTTCCATCTTTTGGCCTTTATGAATAATGCTGCTATCATAAGCCAGTATTTGCATGGATGAATGCTTTAATTTCTCACCGTATATACCTAGGATTTAAATTGTTGGGTTATATGGTGAATCTGCTTAACATTTTGAGGAATTGAGAAACTGATTTTCAAAGTTGCTACACCATTTTGAATTCCAGTCTGCCATGTATGAGTGTTCCTATTTCTTTATATCCTATCCTGTTCAGTGGTAGGATGCTTGCCAGTTGTTATCATCATTCTATTTTAGCCATCCTGATAGGTGTAAAGTGCTACTGTACTGTGGTTTTGATTTCTATCTTCTTGAAATTGATGCTGAGTGTCTTTTCATATGTTTATTGGCTATTTGTGTATCTTATTTGAAGAAATGTCTAAACCTTTTACCCATTTTGTTATTGAGTCATCTTATTAATGAGTTGTAAGAGTTCTTTACAAATTTTAGATAAAAGTACCATATCAGATCTATGATTTGCCAATATTTTTTCCTATTCTATGGGTTGTCTTTTTACTTTATTGATGATACTCTTTTTCTTTGTGCTGGGATTGAACCTGAGTTATTGTACATGCTAGGCAAATGCTCTATCACTGTGCTATTCCTATTCATTTTTTTTTTTTTTAGACAGGGTCTCACTAAGTTGCCCAGGGTGGCTTTGAACTTGGGATCCTACCTAGCCTCTCCAGTAGCTAGGATTGTAGGCATATATCCCCACATCCAGCATTGATGGTACTCTTTGAAGCACACAGTTTTAATTTTGATGTATTTCACTTAATTTATTTTTGTCATTGTTGTTTTTATTGTTGCTTATGCTTTTGGTGTCATTTGTAAGGAGCCATGCCTAATCTAAGGTCACAAAATTTACTCCTAGGGATTTTCTGAAGAGTTGTATAGTGTTAACTCTTACTTTTCAATCTGTAATCCATTTTAAGTTCAAAAAATTTATATATGGTTTTAATAAGGATGCAAATTCAGTTTTATATGTGGCTACCTAGTTGTTCAGAACCATTTGCTGAGAAGACTGTTCTTTCCCAACTGAATCAATTGACTGGGGGCTGGGATTGTGGTTCAGTGGTAGGGTGCTTGCCTAGCACATGTGAGGGCCTGGGTTTGATCCTCAGCACCACATAAAAATAAATAAATAAATTAAGGGCATTGTGTCCAACTACAACTAAAAAATAAATATTAAAAAGCCCAATTGACTATATGTTAGGTTTTATTTCTGGATTCCCAGTTCTATTGCATTTATCTACACTTCTATCCTCAAGTCACAATAATTCTTTTCTCATTACTGAACTTTGAGGAAATTTTGAAATTAAGAAGTATGAGTCCTCCAACTTTGTTCTTATTTTTCAAGATTGTTGGAGCTATTCTGAGTTTCTTACATTTACATATTTTAAGATTTTAGTACTAGTTTGTCAATTTCTGTACAAAAAGTAAATGGGATTTCAATAGAAGTTGTTGAATCTGTAGATCAATTTGGGGAATATTACCACTTTGGCAATATCAAATCTTCCAATTCAGGAACATGGGGTATCTTTTTTTTTTTTTTAAGAGAGAGAGAGAGAGAGAGAAAGAGAGAGAGAGAGAATTTTAATATTTATTTTTTAGTTTTCGGCAGACACAACATCTTTGTTTGTATGTGGTGCTGAGGATCGAACCCGGGCCGCACACATGCCAGGCGAGCACGCTACCGCTTGAGCCACATCCCCAGCCCCCCATGGGGTATCTTTCCTTTTATTTGGATCTTCTTTAATTTCCTTCAACAGATTGTGTTGTTTTCAGTATGTTTCTGCACTTCTTTTGTTAAAAATTTTTCTGAGTGTTTTTATTCTTTTCGATGCTGTTATAAAATGGAATTGTTTCCTTAATTTTTTTTTCAGATTGTTCATTGCTAATGTGTAGAAACAATTGATTTTTGTATATCAAGCTTGTTTTGTGTCCTGCTCTATGTGAAGTTTTAACTTTACAGGGATTGAGTAGCGGTGGTGGGGGCAATAGAGACTTTGGAAGTATTTCCAACAGGGCCATGAAACGTTTCTCTTGCATGCCATCTAGTCACACAGGTCAGTGACAAAGCTACTACTTACTGAACACCTACAACATTATTTACTGTACTCAAAGCTTCCCAATAGTTTTCCATTGCTCTGATGACAAAACAAAATGAAACACAAAAACAAACAAACACAAAACTAGAATCCTTAGCATGACATTGAAGGCTCAGGATAACTAGGCTTTTGTTCAGTGCTCGACGACCCCATCCCTCACTGTTCTTCTCCTGGCCCTGTGTCCTTTAGCCTCATTGACAATTTCAACTTTCTCTAAATTATCATTACCATGTTTCTTCCTGCCTTAAACCTTCATTCATACTGTCCCTGTTGCTTGGTCACTACTTCCCRCTAACATCCTGGTAGACAAAATTCTATTTTCCCAATGTTTGTGAATTTCTGTCTCTTCTGCTAATACTGTCTGTTATTCACAACTGTGTTGTCCTCACCTCAGACAGTACCTGGAAAATGTAAAGACAGTGGATAAGCTGTGTGTCAGGCATTTTATATACTTGATCTCCCTTGTCTTTATGATACACTTTATAAATGAGGAAACTAAAGCTGAACTACGTAAACTAGCCTTAGATCATATAACTAGTAAATGGCAGAGCAGTGATTCTAGAAAGATCTTCTGATGGTTTGAATTTTAAACTAGCCCTTCCAAGAAAGAAGTTCTCATTTCTTGATTTGTTTTCCAGTGGAGACTTTTCAGAAATTGCAGAAGGCAAAAGAGATTCTGACCAATGAAGAGAGTCGAGCCCGCTATGACCATTGGAGAAGGAGCCAGATATCGATGCCATTCCATCAGTGGGAAACTTTGGCTGACTCAGTGAAAATGGTGGGTTTCTCTCTGGGGGGTGATGTAGATCTGTGAGGCTCAGGCTACTCATGGATTAAACTCATGAGTTATCTTAAAGAGTTGTTATGGTTTGGGTATGAAATATTCCCCAAGGACTCATGTGCTGAAGATTCGGTCCTCATTGCAGCAATGTTCAGGGCTTTTGGAAAGTGGTTGAATCATGTGGTCAACCACTCATCAGGGCATTAATCTGTTAAATGCTGAATGGACACCTGGGAAGTTGTGGAAACTGAAGGTAGGTGAGGCTCTGTTGGAGGAGGTAGGTCACTGGGGATGTGTATATCTCATTCCTGTTTCCTTCCTTTCTGTYTGTCTGTCTGCTTTCCAGCAGAGCTGCCTTAGAGCCAGCTAAGCAAGAGCTGAAACCTCTGAAACTGTGAACTAAAATAAAGCCTTCCTCCTTTAAGTTGTTTATATCAGGTATTTTGGTCATAATGATGAAGAGCTTGTTAACCCAAGACTCAATAGGCAATAGGATGGAGAAGACCAAAAAGTTGGTAGGGTCTGTGTTTAACTCAGYGCTTACGAAATCCTGAGAGAGGAAATTCAGAACAGAGGCAATGAATCAGAGCCAGAAGAGCCCGTGACTACATTTTTCAGTCTCTTTGGCTGTTTGTTTCAGTATATAAACTTCCTGTTATCATTTACACTTCATTTTATGAGTTCTAATAAATGTGCTTCTAAAGTTGTTCATATATTGAATTTCGAACCATTGCAAATTCATTTCTACCATCTTTTTTGTTCATAAATCCATTAAAAAAGAAAAAAAGGGATCCCTTTAGTCAGAGAGAACTGTAAGTTATTCTTATCGAATTCTGATTAAACCATTGTGTTACTTTTCTTCATACCATTAAAAAAAACTACATATCAAAACAATCACAGATTAAGAAGGGCTGCGGGTGTAACTCAGTGGTAGAGCTCATGCTTAGCATGTGCAAAGCCCTGAGTTCAATCCCCAGTACACTAATAATTAAATAAATCACTGTAATTACTCTTATGTACTTATTTTGTTTACATTGATCTTTATATTATAAAGCAATGCAATTAAAATTTTATTATTTCAGGCATCAATTATTATCCAGGTTCTTCTAATTGGAATATTCCTGTGACTTGAGACTTTAAATATAGAAATTACTTTACAGGCAAGTTTTTAGGGACATTTGTTAGAATTAGTCTATAAAGTGATTCATATCTCTTAAATTATAGCCCTTTAGGGTTATATTTAGATTTTCTTTATAGTTTTTATTTTAAGACAATTGAAGAAAATATTTTTTATATAAAAGGCTTATAAGACTAAGGCAAGGTCTTTCAAATAACTCGGAGAAATTAATGCAAAACTCTCAAAGTATTTAGTTAAAACCACTCTATATAAAATGTTAACTTTTTTTTCATCTCAGAATGAAATGTATAGACCTATGAATTTGTTTAAGGTGGGTTAATTATTTATGAGAAACTAACATATGCTTATTGTATATATACATAAAATAACTAGGGGAACCTTTCAAAAAAAAGTGGCTTAACTTCACTTATTCAGAACTAAGGTTTTTCTCTTTTTCACTATTTATATCCAAGGTTGCTTATTAACGCTAGCTAAGTAAACATTATTCTACTAACTCTGATTATTTTCAGTCTCTTAAGTATGAAACTCTTAACTGCAACTGAATTAGTCTCCCTTGCTATTCTAAACCCTTCTGGTCCTATAGATCATTTTTCTTCACAATCCATTCAACTGTCACTTAATTTTTAACAGCTGATATCAACTTAGCTGTGGATTTTTCAAAACTCTTCTCTAAATTTCCACTTTAATTATGTTGCCAAAGTCTTTCTATTTAATACTAATTTCTTGTCTCCAAATGCATTATTTCTGCTTTGAGTTTGGCTTAACCATGAACTGTTGGAGATCTTTCAGTAATTAAATTTTAGATGTTACTGGCTATGTCATTTAACTTCTCTGCAAAGATGAAGTAGAATGCTAGGCTGGCCTTTGGTTTCAGATTTATTTTTATTGATGGTACAAAAATGATGAGATGTGTATCTCTCTGCTTTTAAATCAGCAGTGATTTCTTTTTTCTCTTATGATCTTTTTTGTTTGGTTGAAAGCTGGTTGTTTCTGAATTCCTTTTGTTCTTTACCTCAGTGGACTTGGAATTCCTATACTCAATTTTTATCTGATGTGGAGTTTCACTGTTGTTGTATTCATATATGAACATAGGAAAAGACAGTAGAATGAATTGGACATAACTGTCCTATGTTCATATATGAATATACCAATAGTGAAATACTACCATTAAGAATGGGATCCTAATTAGTGTAAGTTATACTCCATGTATGTATAATATGTCAAAATACACTATTGTCATGTATATCTAAAAGAACAAATTTAAAAAAATAAATAATATAAAAGAATAAAATGAAATCTTGGTGTTATATATAAAAAAAAGACCCTGTCTCAAAATAATTTTCAAAAGCTAAAAAAATTACATAATATGTTTATATCCATATGTATATACACACATACATAGTGTATATACACATATTAACACTAGATGAATAAATGTTAAAAGCTAAATATATATGGCTAGTTACATATATATTATACTTATGTATGGATATTTATGTCCATTAATTAATTAATTAATTTTAGGAAGGAAAAGTTTATCTGGGGTTCACAGTTTCAGAGGTCTCAGTCCATAGAAGGCTGGCTCCATTTTGGGGGGTTTGAGGTCAGGCAGAACATCATGGCAAAAGTTTACGGTGGAGTAGAGTGGTTCAGAACATGATGATCAGGAAGCAGAGAGAACTCTCCTCACCAGGACAAAATATAATCCCCAAAGGCATGCCCCTGATGGCCCACCTCCTCCAGGCACACACTACCTGCCTTTAATTCTACCCAGCTAATCCCTATGAGGAGATTAATTCACTGATTGGATTAAAGCTCTCATAATCTGATTATTTCACCTCTAAACTTTCTTGAATAGTTTACACATGAGCTTTGCAGGGGAGCACTTAATATCTAACCAAAACACATGCAAATGGCTACAACCACTTTAAAAAACTTAATTAATTCAACTATCTGTACATCACTCAGTAGACTTTCTGTAATTTTCTTTTTGTTCTAACCCTAAAAGGTTAGGAGTGATTGATGCATGGGAGAGCCTCATCTCTTTCTGTAAATTTTTTGTTGTTGTTGAGACTGGTCTTATACTCCCAGGCTGAAGTGATCCTCCTACCTCTGCATTCTTAGTACTGGAACTATAGATATGGTCTCTCTCTGGTGCTGAGGATCAAACTCAGGGCTTTGTACATGTTAGGCAAACATGCTACCACTGAGCTACACCCTCAGCTCGATAGAATATCTGTCACATTTTAATTGTTGCTTTTTCTCTGTGTGTATTTCATTTGTTTATCCTTTTACATTCATACTCTGGAAAAATTAATAAATAATGATTATCAATTGTTCATCACCTAATAGAATTTTGTCTATCCTTTTGTAGATAAACATTACCATTAGGGTTTTAGGTTATAGGCTTTACTTATGCCATTCTGACAATAAAATAGTTATAACTTTAGGATTTGAATTTCAGATGACTTGCCCTGCACATATTATAGATTGTTAAATCTCATAAAATGTCTTTCCTCTGGTGGTCAATCTTGTGTTAACTGCCTTTTATTTAAGCAGGATAATCACTGTGGAAGGAAAAGCATTGGTTGAGAGCAATATTTGTCCTCACACCTGCAATGTAGGACAAATTCCAAGGTATTTTTTTGCAGCATAACACACAGGATCATGTCTCAGTTCTCTCCTTCGGGAGAATGCCTCAAATGAGCCATAGGTGTRACGAACTTCCACTACCCACAAGCGATAAAACTGTAACTACTATCCCTCCTATATTCCAAGTCTCTGTCACTTCACTAGCCATTTATTTCTCTTTTCCTTTTCTAGAAGTTCCTCCTGATAATTTCATTTGTAAAAAATATTTTAAGAATTCACCTAGATCAATTAATACTTTTGAAATTTAAATGGAGATATATGGAGTTGGTTTTAAACAGGGTTGAGGGTGAGAGTTTTAGTAATCTAGGCCTTTGGGACCCTGGGAACTTGAAAACAGATTTTGTAGCTCAGAAATTTAGAGAATTTCATCTTTGTCATTCAGGATATGGATAGCTCTTTTTCTCTCTTGCTCCAAAATAGATGGCAGATTGGCTTTAGGAAGGCTGCTGGCGAATGACTGTAGTGAAGCCACAATCAAAATAAAGCTCTGAGAAAAATTCTCATAAGCTGTTAAAATTGTTCCATGCCACATCAATTGCTATAAATTTTATAGAAGCTATTAGAAACACATTTTGGTGAACTGATCATTTGACAAATTGATTGCTTCTGGGAGGGCGTTTTGGGGCTTCCTGTCACCTTCACACGGACCTATTTGTCTATTGATTGTTTCTGGGGTCTCAGCTGGGTGAGGTGTCTTTGGGATAAGTCCAGTTGGCCACAGACTACCAGGGAAGCTTCCTACTATGTCCACATGGCAATAGTTTCTCCAGCCAGATGGGAAACAGTGTGCAATTCAACACCTTCTGGGCCTGTTCAACAGGCAATCTGTCCTAATTGGATGTTTTCCAAAAGCAGGTCAGGAATCACCAAGCAAGTAAAAAATTCACTCAAAGTGATCCAGGAAAAAAAAAAATAACCAATTTTGTACAGTTATTCAGCTGAGCTATGACATATCTGAGTCAATTGTGTCTTTTTTCTATTTGTCCCAGTGTTTAATGGCATGTAGGTTAAAATTTTATTTGCCAGTGTTGACCAAGGTCTAGAGTGTGAGAAAATGAGAGGGAGGGAGGGGGAAAGAAAGGGGAGGGGGAGATAGATAGTTTCATTAAGGAAAACCGGTGAACAGGTTAATTTTGAAGGCAGAATAACAACATATCAGACCAGTTTTTCATATCTCAGGACTGGTGACCTTTGCCCATAGGCTTGG